GAAAGTGATTAAATAGAAACCTCTGAAATCTCAATTCCCACCAGCTGAGGAGCCAACCGAGTGAGTTAGTTAGGGGCTGATACAAACTCACTGCTTAGCAGCCAAGATTTCTAGGTGCTCTAAAATCCACGTACTGAATCACATTGTCTTGAAAATTGCTGTGTCTCTTTGATGTCTGAGGTAGTGTAAGTGGGGCAAATTTGGAGTCACTTGGTCTAGGAGTTCCTGAGACATAACACCCCAAAATAGAGGACTTGAGAGTGAAACACTGCAGTTCTCCATGGCTTGGCTCCTGTTTTGGTTTCAGACGGGCGTTGATCCTGTATCTCTCTCTTCCTCCGCCAAGGTTGCCGGTTGTACTAGGCAAATTGGTACCCCCAGGCTGGACTGAGGTGATGTCTGTAAGGCACAAATGATGATTCCCCTGGGAGACGACTCTACAGTATTTGCCCAACCTGGCACCCCCAGCTGGGCTGTGCCTCTCAGCTAAGCACAGAGCAGGGGCCGGGGTGTTGGTGGGAGAGGGGCAGGGAGACGCTTGCTTTCCATAGCTTTCCTCAGGACAGGACGGCTGAAGTGCTCTGGAGGGAGACAGCGAGGCAGGCACCAGGTGCCAAGAAGGCAATTCCTACAGCGAATGGGCTGAGAATTTCAATCTCATATCTCAGATTGATTTCCTTCAGTAGGAACGTACATACCAGGCTGGCTCATCGGCCCCTCTAGCCACTCCTTGCTGCCCCGGTCACACCTCTGGGTCCATCAAGCCTGCTGTCTCCCCCCCTTTCCCTTCCACCCCAGATCAGACCTCTGGGCCCATCCAGCCCATTAAACCCGGCTAATCTGGTAACCCCCAGGTATCTGCTGCACCAGAACAGACCCATGGTCTGGATACTGCAGCCACCTATCGGGCCTGTGTTAGACAATGCATCCCTGGTGCACCATTTCACACTGGCTGCCATGGAGGCTCAGGTGGGGCTGCGAGTCAGGACTGAGGGGTACCGGCAGAGCTGTTGGTATGGGGAGCCCGGGGCTCATGGCCTGTGTTATCCCATCCTCAAGCTCCCTCCCGACAGCTTTCCCACTGTCCCAGAATCCTTGCAGAGGAGTGAGGAAGTGACTTGTCCTTGTCTTACTTCCCCTCCCAGAGCAGAGAGAGAACCTAGGAGTCCTGGTTACCAGCCCCAACGCTCTAACCACTAGACCCCACTCCCCTCCCAGTGCTAGTCTGGGTACCTCAAACTAAGAGGGAGACTTCAAACCAAGGAAACTTTTGTCATTTTTTTTCAAGCTGGGGTAGCCAGCTGAGTAGTGGCTCAGTATTGGAGCCAGAGCCACAGCGACGAGAGGTGAAAGACCCAGGTACTGATGAGATATTTATGGGGAACAAGCAAATGGCAAAACAAAGGGCGGGGGGGGGGGGAATACCGACAACATGTAGAGCTGGTGTCTCTGCTGGGCTCTGTTATAATTATCATAACATAGATTGCATTCAAATGGGAGTGGGGTCTAGTGGGGTGCGGTTCTGTCTCTGTCTCTGGGAAAGGAGTGGGGGCTAGTGGGTTAGAGCAGGTGGGACCGGGAGCTTGGACGCCTGGGTTCCCTCCATAGCTCTGGAAGAGGAGTGGGATCTCGTAGGTTAGAGTAATGGGGCTGAGAATCAAGGCTTCCAGGTTCCATCCCTAAACAGAGCAGGGACTTGTAGCTGGGTCTCCTCCACCCCACAAAACTGCCCCAACTCCCTGGTTGTTCTGGCTTCTCCTTGTCAGCTGAAACTCTCCCTGGTGTGGAGAAACCTTCCCAATTATGTTTTTTGTTGGAACCTTTCCAATGCCTGGAAACAGTTTGGTTTTGACAAAATGACATTTATGTTCATGGAAAAAAAAGTTTTAATGATTTGTTTTGGACCAGCTTTAAGGGGGCACCTGAGGTCAGATTAGTTACAGTATTTAGGTGCCTAGTGAGATTTTCAAACACATTGAGGTGCCCAACTCCCTTTGCTTTCAATGGGTGTTGGTGCCTAGATGATATTGAAAATCCCACTAGATGCCGAAATACCTTTGAAATCTGCCCCTTAAACATCTCGGAAAATCTGGAGCTAAGTCACCGTGTGGTAGAGCAGAGAATGCAGCCTGGGTCTGCTCAGCACCCCGCTAGCTCCCTCCCTGTTGGACCAGGTTGTACTAATGTAGATGGAATAAATGGGCCAAAGGTGCTAACAGACCCCAGTCACTGTCGACCATTAGACATGTTAAGTGACGTACAGGTTTGGTATCCAGAGACCTCACCCTGCTCAGTGCCATGGCAAACACACCATGAAACATGCCTTTAACCTGTTATCAAAGACAAGGAAAAGGAGGAAAAGCAGCTAAAGCATTTGAAATGTAAAGCATTCAATAAGGCTTCATTTGAACAACATCCCTCATTCCCCTGGCCTTGAGCTGGGAGAGTTTTAGAAGGAAAATCCCCCTCATCAGACAGTCTGTTAGACGGTATCAGAGATGGTAATAACTGTCCTTGCGGGGGAAAGAGAAGTTAGCTGAGATGGGCTGGAGCTGCTGTTGTCGTAGATGCTGCTATTGAAGTTCGATCCCATTTCATCTCGGGTGGGGTTTGGGATTCAGCTGGAGTAGGTGGGGGGTGACGATGTCCTCTGGGTCCCTCTCTCTGGCCCGGTCTGGCCAGGACATCTCTCAGGATCAGGAGGACCAAGAGCTGGAGTCGCAGGGATGGGGTGTGTGGCAGATCTGATGGTGAATCTGGCTCCAGTAGCCTCTGTTGTTCTTCCTCATTTCCCCCCCAAAGTCTTTTTCTTGAAGGACCCCAAAGGGAGTGATGGGCCGAATAGCCCATCCCCTCGCTATTTTGTCCACCAATTAGGCCTAGTTTCCAACACACAATTTTGGTTCACTGATTTCCGGCCCCACAATTCTCTTGTTTACCAGGCATGATCTTAAGATAGACCTTGAGTGATATCAGGAGGATATTAGTCCTGTTGGACTAATTCAGTCTTTCTGTCTCTCTTTCCCACCTTTTCCCATCAACCTTTGTTATTGTAGGTTGTTGTGACAACTTAGGAACTTTCATATGCTTTTTACAGTTGAGCTCACAAAGAGGGTGAATTTGTCGACCCACTTATCACACCACTGCCCTTCCTCTGCTTGTAGGAGCTGGACCTCCTGGAGCCGATGAGGGGGGAGAACAGCACATCGGTGACCAAATTCATCCTCCTAGGTCTCTCCAGCAACCTGCAGGAGCAGCTCATCCTCTTTGGGGTCTTCACAGCCATCTACCTGGTGGCCCTGATGGGCAACGTGCTCCTCTTACCGTTGATCAGTCTGGACTCCAGGCTCCACACACGCATGTATTTCCTCCTGGGCAACCTTTCAGTGGTGGACATTGGCTACACCAGCTCCACCATGCCCAAGATGTTGGCCAATTACCTGTCACAGGACAAGTCCATCTCATGGGCTTTCTGCCTCTCTCAGATGTTCTTCTTCATCTCCTTCGGGGGGATCGAGTGCCTGCTGCTGGGGGTCATGGCCTATGACCGCTACATTGTCATCTGTCATCCTCTGCACTACGGCACGTTCATGCTGGGGGTCTGGTGCCTCTGGGCTCTTAGCTATTGTAGGTCACATGTCTGTGCCACAAACACATATTTATTTCAACAAAGCCCAGGGGACGCTCATTGGGCATCAGCTGTAGATAGCAGTGGATATGGATGACGAGAGAAGCAAAAGGATCTTTTCAGAACCACCATGTTTTTTTCTGGACAGGAGCTGTATTCTGTGCCTGTCTGGGTTCCCCTCACATTCACCCCCAGAACCTCTCCATAAGTGCAGCACAAAGACGGACGCATCCATTTGCCACATAGGAGGCTCAGTGAAATGGCCTGTTCATCTTAATGAGCTATTCTGAGCTGAGTGAGAATCCCTCCAGGAGATGGTACTGCCTGAAACAAGTGCTCAGAGAGGTGTGAACTGTTTCACTCGTACCAGCCATGCCAGTGCCAGCAGGGTTTCATGGTGTTGTTGGTGCACGCTCCACATGCGCCTCTTCTCAGCTTCACACCTCAAGGGGTGGTGCTTCCCTAGATCCGGCACACATGGGGAATGGTTTAAGGAGACGGGTTCAGCCCCCCCAGAAGGGCAAGGACAAAGCCTCCGAGATCACGTGAAGGGAGAAGGGAGGGTTGGACCTCCATAGATGGGTTGGAAACCCCCAGATATTGGTACAGACATGGGAGGGGAATGTGGGATTGTCAGGTGCCCCGTCCCCATTTTCCCCCAGGCTGCTGTCACTCACCTTCATGTTCCCCTTCCCAGTGCCCCATCCCTCCCCATCTCCTCACACCCAACCCATCTCCTATACACCCTCCTCCACCCCCTGAATGCTCTTACACTAGTCCCCAGGTGTCTCCTTCTCTCTGCCTTACACAGCCCAGGCCCCCAAACACCCCCCCTCCCCTCTCACAACCCTCCACCTCACAAATGCTCCCGGGCCCCGTTCTCTGTGTTTCCCCTCCCATGGCCCAGAGCCAATTCCCCACCCAGAGTTCCTGACTCAGCTTCCTCAGAGATCCCTGCTGAACCCCTCTGCTCACCAGTCCCCTCCTCTGCTCAGCCCAACTCCTCTGAAATGACCCCAGCCCCAGGGAACCCCCCGCTGCTTCCTTCAGTCCCACCTGCAAACACCAGACATTCTCTCCTGCTTCCCTCCTTTGGCCAGCCCTGGCCACCACTTCCTTCCCACCCCACTCTCCTCCTTCCTCTGCCTGGCCCTCTCTAGAGCTGGGGGAGGGGGGCTTTCAGTCCCTCATCCCATTTAGTCCATCACCTCTCAGCCAAGCCTGCCCAAGGAGGGGAGTAGGGAGCTCCCATCATTGGAGTAGATCCCTGTTTGCTAGGAACTGCAGAGAGACCCAGTAACTCAAGACATCCAGCAAAGGGACACGACAATGGCTGTTGGAGAATTCAGTGATGGGGGCATGAGAGAGAGGGATAACCAAACAATCCTGGCAGTGGGTGGATAGATAGATAGATAGATAGATAGATAGATAGATAGATAGATAGATAGATAGATAGATATCACCAATGATTGCTGCTACTGGAGGCTGGAATGCATTGCAAGCTGGGAAAAATTCCTAAAAGAACAGCACAGTAAGTTTGCCATTTCAATTAAATATGTTAGAGTATTAATATACAGGGCTAATTTAAGAACATAAATTTGAATTATGTTTGGAACTCTTTAAGACCTTTGTTATCAAGTCAATCAAACATCTAGAGCCTATCAGATTTTTTTTAATAAAAAAAAAATTGGGCTTTCATAGAATTCCCCAAAATCTCTGATTGTTCATGTTTTGGCAAGTGAGAAAACAAACATTTTTAGCTAAAAATTGCAGAAAACTGATTTTTTTCCACCCAAAAAAACATGGGTTTTCAGTTTTCCTATGTATATATATGAAGTATCAGTGAAATATATTTGAGGATACCTGAGACGTTCTGTGAA